CCTGGCAACCTACTTCTGAAAAAGTCTGCCATTGAAAACCCTGCGGAGCACAGTTGTACTCTGACATACATCCGGTTGCCATGAGTCAGGATGGACCGGATGGTAACTGGTAGAAGACCATACGGAAAGGCACTCTGGGTGCAAGTCACATCACCCACACACTGCAGGTGGACAGCCCCCAGGGGCTTGTGGACAGAGCCCGCTGCAGGGGGCTCTGACTTCCTGAAAAGGGTTTTGTGACCTAGAGTTTCCCGACCAACACTATGAAAAAACCAGTTGCTGGGGAGTCGAATCTGACTCATGGCCACCCTGCGTGGGTCAGAGTAGAGCTGTGCTCCATAGAATTTTCAGTGACTCTTTTTTTGGAAGCAGATCACCAGGCCTTTCTTCCAAGGCACCTCTGGGTGGAATCGAACGAACCTCCAACCTTTTGATTAGTAACCGAGTAGCAAGGCTGTAACTTCATTTAAATATCTACTTGACGCGCATATGTGCTCTCAGGTATATGCACTCCTTGCCTTGCTCCAAATAGAATTCCTACCTACAGCAATGCAGATAGTCGGGTATTAGCATAATCATAGGCAGAAACATCAAGGTGAAGGAGAAGTCAGAACAGAATGGCAATATGATATCAGGAGAAATTACAACCCAAATATGCATTCTTCAACAGGAGAAATGGATGGAAAGTGGGCCCCTGAGCAAGTGGTCCAAGTTCAGAGAAGTTCAGACTCTCCCCAAGTGCCAAATTCAAGGTGGGGAGGGTGCGTGTGGGCATACATTACCGGCCACAGACTCAACTGTGCAATAGGTGTAACTTCAGAAATAATTCAACTTGATTTTTATTTCAAAACCCCTTCTTGGTCAATTCAGAGACCACCCCCACCTTTGCCTAGGGATTACTTCTAAGCTCTGGGGGGTGGTCTCTGGTTGGGGGCTGCCCATGCTGGCATCTGCTGAGATGTCTCCTGCCTGTCTGGTCCCCATGGAGGTCTCCTTCCATGATACCCCTACTCAAAGTTCTCTTTCTGCTGTCGCAGGCCGTTTTCTGCTCTCACAGTCCTCTCCCGCCCACGGGAACCACCCAGCCCCCTTCCTTCCACACTGAGGTGCTGAGGGAGGGAGAGAGAGTGACCCCTGCACCGAACCCACACTTCCCGTGTAACACCTCTTTGGATGGACTTTGCATGTCCCACAGTCTCCCTGGGCAAGGACACGGTGCGGTGCCCCTTTCTTCCCAGATCCCGCAGGCCACTCTAGAGTCAGCTCTCTCTGTGGAGTGGGCTCCATTTGGCGGCTGCATCAGGGACTCCACCCTCTGCTCCTTCTAGCCACCCCTTCTTTGCCTTGCCTGGGCACCGAAAGCTTGCTCCCACCCACCCCAGTCATCTAGGCTGCGAGTCCCCTCAGGGTCTATGATTTGTGAAAATCAAAGACCTTTTCTTTGACTTCGGCTGTGACATTCTTACCTGGAGCAATGTGCTGTACTGTGTAGCCACAGGTGGGCTGAGAGAGGAACAGGTCAAGGGTTACAGCACGCCGAGGCAGGGAGATTCATCACTTAATATTAAAAAAAAAAAAAAAAAATCACCTCCCACCACACATGGATGCAGGTGTGGGGGCACCGTCCACCATCCTCTGGAACGTGGATAAGTTTTCCCATCTCTAAACCTCACTTTCCTCCTTGACAGTCAGGTGGAGATAGCATCTTCCCCAAAGGGTGTCTTTGATGATCCTACTACACAGACCCTATTTCCAAACAAGGTCACGTTCACCCATACCAGGGTTAGGACTTCAACGTATCTTTTTGGGGGACACAATTCAATCCATAACACTGGTTTTCCTCACCCATAGAGCTACTTCTCTACCTCTGTTAAAGGGCCATCTTAAAGATCAAGACAGAACATGTATGTGAGTAAGTATTGTTGAATCACTGGATTAAGGAATGGACAAAGTGGTTTGAAATCTGTGGAGGGCCACACCAACACCCTTAAAAATTTCCTAAACCCTGTGCATGATTCATTTTCATATCCGCCCAGTACTTAACTAGTGTGCTTCTTGGTATGTTGTAAGGATTGAAATACATCACAGCTCTAAAGCACCCTAGGGGCACTGGTGGTTCAGTGGTAGAATTCTTGCCTTCTATGCGGGAGACCCAGGTTTGATTCCCAGCCAGTGCATACCATGCATAGCTACCACCTGTCCGTCAGTGGAAGCTTGCGTGTTGCTATGATGCTGAACAGGTTTCAGCGGAGCTTCCAGACTAAGACAGACTAGGAAGAAAGGCCTGGCCACCAGCTTCCGAAAATCAGCCAGTGAGAACCTTATGGATCATGGCAGTCCAACTGGCAACCAATCATGGGGATGGCGCAGGACGGGGTGGCGTTTTGTTCCATTATGCAGGGTGGTCATGAGTGGGGCCAACTCAACATACTCTTTGGGCTTGTTTGAAGTCTGCAGAGGGGTTTATGTTCACTGTATAGTCCTGTAAGTCCTGGTACATGTCTCAGGACACATGGCCAGTCACGCTTCTCAAGCACGGAGATAAATGGGCATGTGGGGTGCACTTCATGAAGGCGGACGTGGTTATCTGTCTGGTATGTGAAGTGTGATGGACAATTCGGGTGTTTTTCTTGTTTTCAAAAGCTTCATTTCTGATGGCTTTTCATATGCTTATGCCCTCAGCCCCTTCCATGTGGGGACCCAGAACGGATGCCAATCATGTCAATTCTCCCGACGTGGTGGGGAAAAAAAAAAGAAGAGTGGTGGCTTCACCAGGCAATTGTTACAGTGTAATGTTCAGAAGCAGCAGAATGGAAAGATCTGAATTTCCGTAGTTACTTCCGGAGCGAAACTGATTAAAATCATTGCCTAGGTAGGTTGGAATCTCCTCTTTAACAGTTTTCAGAAGGAAAGGCAAAGACAAAGTCACGGTGATGATGGCATTAAATCTGCTTGGGTGACTCAGAATGTATGTTGGCCCGGCAACATGTCGTGGGGTGAGCGGCAAACATGTCGTGGCGGTGGCTGGGGTACGCCTGAAAGAGCCTTGGCCTCCGCCATCCCACGCTGAATTTGCTTCCTTTAAGCCTTTCACAGGAAAATGTTTGAAGCTCCTCTTTTCATCTTTTCTGCCGAGCTGTAATCCATGCGGAGAACGTATTCACGGTCTTCCCACTGGTGCATTTCTCAGGGTCGTTGTTAAAAGTGTGGATTTTGTGCTGGGCTCTACCGTAATGAGAAGGGGAATTGCATGTGGACCCTGACGTGTAAATGAAAAATCGTCAGTGGCCCAGCTGTGCGCTGGCCGAGCTGGGGCTGCGCGGTCGATGAATGCCTTCCCGGCAATTGATTCCCTACTTGTTCCCGTTAATTTATTCATCCGTCCATGCAGTCCTTCGCTCAGTCTTTGATCGGACAAGCGTTATGGAGGGCCCACTATGTGCCAAGTACTGTGCTGGCCTTTAAAATGCCACAGGTGGTTGGGACCGACCTAGTTTTTGAGACGCTGGCGGCCTAGAAGGGCAGCTGGACCTGAGATGTAGAGACGCGGTTATGGGGCAACAGCGTGAGAAGAATGCTGGTGTTGTTGCTGGAGGTGCTCAGAGCCCAGAGGAGGGGGCCGCCCTGCAGATTGCAGGCGCCAGAAAGCTGTGCAAAGGAGGGGGACTCACGGAGGGTTTACAGAGGAGGGGGACTCACGGAGGGTTTACAGAGGAAGGGTCCCCATGGAAGGTTTACAGAGGAGGGGTCCCCATGGATGGTTTACAGAGAAGGGGTCCTCATGGATGGCTTACAAAGAAGGGGTTCTCAGGGGACGTTTGCAAATGAAGGGCCCTCATATTCTAGCCTGAGGATGACCAGCCTCCAGTGGCAGGGGCAGGGACAGAGACAGTGAAGCTGTCCTCAGGACCAGTCCTGGGATGTGGTCAGTTTTAGGAAGGAGACTCTTCAAGGAAGAGCAGAGGTGTCTCAGAGCTGACGGAAGTTAATGAATACCAAGGTTGTTAAGAACTGTGTGGCAGGAACATATTTTTGGGTGGCAATCAAAGGTCGTCATGGCCACCCCCCCTCTGAAGACAGAAAACGAAGCTCCAGGACAAGGAAGTTGAGGGAGTGGCTGGGAGGCAGTAGGGAAGCACAGACAGTGTGGTTTTCCAGGTCGATGGCTGCAGCTCCTTCCGGCTCCACTGCACAGCCTGGTATCTTGTCTGCTCCCCGCTGCATAAATACCTAAGCACCCCCAGTACTGGCGCACATGGGCACCTTCTCCACCCATGTGCCTCACTGTTAGTTTGCTGTTTCTTTTTCCCTCAAGGTAGTAGAAAGGCCCTTTGTTCATGAGGATAATTTGGCACCAACCAGACCCATCGGGGTACACCCATGGTGCACATGGAGCCCACAGGTCATGTCCAGGCCACGGAGCCCTCTGGAGCCTGAGCAGGGTCCCGGATGTGGGGCCTGCATTCTTCCAGCGGAGGACGGGGGTCAGTTTTCACCCTGGCTCCAAAGGCAGGGCTGACCCTCACGAGCCTGCCAGAGCTACTATTGCTGGAACTTAGAGGCAAGGAGGACGTGTGAGAACCTTTAAACGCGTAACAGCACTCAGTCTCTCGCTGCTGTAGAATGCACTGTTGGAACTTCTTCTCCAGAAGGAACGAGTGGTTTTCTGTCAGCCTGTGCATCTTTTCTATTGTCCTTTTCAGTAAATTCCAACACTCATCACTAGCAGGGGTGAAAATTCACACTATTTCTATGATTGCCCAAGTACAGTCATGAGACCCAGAATTTCTCTTCTTAGTTCTCGGGTGTTAACACGTTATTTAATGGACTCCAAAGGCAATGCCAGAGGCCCCTGAGTGGCAAAAAAAGTTTGCACTCAACCACTGACCTAAAGGTTGGTGGTTTGAAACCACCTAGCTGTGCCACGGAAGAAAGTCCTGGTGATCTGCTTCTGTAAAGATTACAGCCAAGAAAACCCAGTGGAGCAGTGCTGTGTAACACATGGGGTTGCCATGTGTTGGAATCAACTGCACGGCAACAAGCTTTCTAATTTTAAAGGCAATGACAAGACAGAAGCTGAGCCCTCCAGGATCCTCATCGGAAATCTTTGCTGGAGAAGGAAATCCAACCCACGAAGTAATAAGGAGGGTGAGTGGCTCATGTAGGCCGAGTTCAAACCACCAGCCCATGAGAGGTCAGTGAGTCATTGCGCTTGATTACTGGTCACCAGCCCCAGGCTGACTTAACCTGTCACTTCTGGCCTGTGCGGCTCCGTCGGCTATGTGGACATTGCGTATTTCTCTTCCTGGTTAGAGTCTGCTTTGGGTGTAACAAATCATGAGCAGAAACAGCCAAGGCATCGTCCCCTCTATGACCAAACCTCAATGCCCACAACGCACGCTCTCAGGCCATAGACTCTGGCTTCTTGATGTGAGACCGCGGGGTCCAGGGAAGGCATAGAGACATAGGGACATGGCTGAGGTTGGTCAACAAGTCCCTGACAGCTTCGGGGTGTCCTCGGGGTGATGGATATCAGCTGAGATAAGCTGCTAGCAGCACAGGTGGCTCCAAGGGCACCAATACAAGGACACTAAATGACGGGATGCCTGCCCCTGCCTCCTTGCAGCCCCTCTCCAGGTGTGTCCCACCCAGCAGGAGTCCCGGGGTGCTCCTTGAAAAGGGGGGCTCTAGGGGCAGGGGTGGCTCAGTGGTAGAATTCTCGTGTTCCATGTGGAGACTCAGGTTCAATTCCCAGCCAATGCACCTCATGTGCAGCCACCACCCATCTGTCAGTGAAGGCTTTCATGTTGCTATGATGCTGGACAGGTTTCAGCAGAGCTATCAGACTAAGACAGACTAGGAAGAAAGGCCTGGCAATCCATTTCTGAAAAGCAGCTGATGAAAACACTCTGGATCACCCGTCTAACCTGCAACTGATTATGGGGATGGCGAAGGACTGGGCAGCATTTCGTTCTATTTTGTCCGCGGTCACAGTGGGTTGGGGACAACTTGCTGGCAGCTAAAAGCAACAACAACCTGGTCAAACAGGTTAAAGTAATTCTGCACTGCATTATGGGAACCTCACAATGTATTCTGGGCACATTCAAGGCTCTGAGAAGTCCTGCAGGAAAGAGATCCTTTTATCTTTGTTGACGGGGAGCCCTTTTTTGGTAGAACATTTATGACTGGCTGGCAGAGGTAGTCTGAACTGAACATGATGATGTTTCCAAGCCCGGCAATAAAGGCTCTCAACTGGGAAAATTTTTAAACAAAGTAAATTCCTGGGGGCCCACTGTGGGTATTTTGGCTGGCCCCACACGCCATACTTCTTGAAACTTTCCAGGTGCTTCTGATTACCATCCAACTTCGGATGTGGATTCAGATGCCTCATAGAAGCACGGTTAGTGGCTTCAGAGCCCAAGAGTTGAGTTTTTCTTCCTTTTGTGTGAAGTCTGAGCATCCCAGAGGCACAAAAGAGAGAGATCAAATCCATCTACACTCGCCCTGAGGGTGGGCATCACGGAAAACACTCTCAGGGGAGAACTTGGCGTGATGATGACTTTCAAGGACTAGAGAAGATGGCTGTAGGGAAGGAACTTTAGGAAAGTGGCTCACATTGGTATTGTGAGCGCAGGAAAGCCTGTCTGCCACAGGCCCTTACCTGTCCCGCTCAATAAATAGCTCTTCCCTGGGGAAGAAGAGGGAGAAGATGGTTTTCTCCAAGAATGTTTCTTTGTCCTGGGCTAGGGAAGAATCCAGGCTAAGGTTTATTGTGCATTTCCACCCATCCTGGGAAACAGTGCAAGGTAAGATGGAAAAATTGAGTGGTGGGAGACACCTGAGGTGTGTGGGCCCCCTTAAAAATACTTTAGGAGGAACCCGAGGTCATGGATTAACATGGATCCGCAATTCACCCCTTAGTCACTGAGGAGGCAATCCGGGCCTGTGTACATGCCTCCACCCCTGGTGGTGCAGTGGTTAAGAGTTAGGCTGCTAACCAAAAGGTCAGCAGTTCAATTCCACCAGCCGCTCCTTGGAAACCCTATGGGGCAGTTGTACTTTGTCCTGTAGGGTCACTGTAAGTCGGAAATGACTTGACAGCAACAGTTTTTTTTTGGTTTAAACGCCTCCACCAGGGTGAGAGCTTAGGCAGCCAGGTAACGCAAAGCCAGGTAATGCAACAGGGAAGTGTTGAGCCCGGCGGCCTCTAATCACATGATATGAAGTTATCACTGGGAATGGAGGGGCCCAGGTAGGGTCTCCAAGTCTTGTGGAACCTGATCACAAAGAGTGGGGATTACAGTAAAATCAGAAGGCTGCCATAATAGCATCTAGGGAGAAGGTTCTGGAGCAAACATCCCGGACTTGGTGGACCCTGTAATGGAAACCATCACTGAGCTGCACCCACACAATCACCACCACAATGTACCCAACACAGCGGTGATCATGACGATGGCGCAGGGCTGGGCAATGTTCTGTGCTGTCATACGTAAGGTCGCCGTGAGTCAGACCTGACGTGACGGCAGCTGACAACAACAGTGGAGCCCTGGTGGTGCGGTGGTTAAGAGATCGGCTGCAAACCAAAGGGTTGGCGGTTCGAATCCACCAGCAGCTCCCTGGAAACCCTATGGGGCAGTTCTCCTTTGCCCTATTGGGTTGCTATGAGTTGGAATCGACTCGATGACAATAGGCTTGGTTTGGTTTTTAACAAGAACGAGGAATAAAAACACAAGGAAAGCAGTGAGCGTGATTGATTTAAACATATTAAACAATCGTCTCATCCTTGATGGCCGATAGGTACATTCAGAAAGCATAACAGAAATGGAACGCGATTCGACCAACACTTCTCAGAAGCTGTCTTTGGAAATGGGCTTCGCACAACATCAGATTTTTTTCTGCTCAGAGCCCTGCAAAGTAAGATACTGAAGAGTCTATGGATTTTCTTCTCTCTGTGTGAAATAAAAAAAAATATCTCTCCATGGGCTTTGACTTACAAAGTAGTACCAGGCCCACAAAATTGAAAGAAACAAAACAAAAAAGCTACTGTGTCCTGGCTGAAGAAAAACAGGGGCTTCTGGCAGTTTGGGCTCAAGCCTTGGTGACTTGCAGCTGCAGCAACACCACGGGAGGTGATGGGCAGATCCCAAATCTCCAAGCAGGGTCCGCTGCAGACTGAGTCCCCAACAGCAAGCAAGAGGGAAGGAAATTCCCCGTGTGCTTCTACGTGACCTTCCCTGTGCTCAGCGCTGAGCCCAGCCATTCACAAAAGTCTTTCACTTCCTCGTGACCTGGGCTCTGGTTGTTGTCCTTGTTAGCTGCCATCGAGTCAACTCCAACTCACAGAGACCCCGTGTACAACAACTCCAGTGAGTTTTCTTGGTTATAATATTAGTGGAAGTGGATTGCCAGGCCTTTCTTCCACGGAGCCACTGGGTGGGTTTGAACCACCAACCTTTGGGTTAGCAGCTGAGCGCGTAACTGTTGCACCACCAGGGCTCCTTCTGGGACATGGAAAGA